TCTTATAAAATGTCGACTTTACCATCTGCTTTTGACGATTGGAACTAATTACCTGACCTCATTGTAAACATGACTGACACTAACAAGTTTGCTGCAGCCGTTAACCTCTTTCTTTCTGATATACAAGTATAGGTTACAGCGTGTTTTTATTAACTATTTTTGTTGATGTTTTTATTGTGTTCACTCCCTTGTATAATGCCCCCTGGGGCCCTCAAGGAAAATAAATGATGATGATGATGATGGTGTGTTTTTTTTTAGCTGCACCAAATTTTCAAAGAAAGGGAACGTGAGACAGAGTAATTTAAGAGTCTAACTCTTACTCCTGTAATGCTCAACATGGCTTCCAGATATCATTTTCTTGTGAGACTCAGCTCTTGTTTTACCCATGACCTTCATTCCATTCTTGACCGCGGCTCTCAGGCAGACTGTACTTTCCTAGATTTTTCTGAAGCCTTCGACAAGGTCCCTCACTCCCTCGTTATTCAAAAGCTTATCAAACTTCATTTAGACCCTAACGTCGTTGCACGGCTACGCTCGTTTCTTACTAATCGATCGCAGTTTGTAACTATCAATGATGGAAATTCCCAACCTTCACCAGTCACTTCAAGTGTTCCCCAGGGCTCTGTTCTGGTACCCCTCTTATTTCTTATCTATATTAACGACCTACGTAACAATGTATGTTCATCTGTCAGTCTGTTTGCATATAACTGTGTTATTTATCGTGAAGTTATTAATGACTCTGACATATCTCTCCTTAAGTCTGATGCTAACTCTATCTCTGACGTAGCTTGTGGTGCATGCAATTAAATACTGCTAAATGTAAATACATGCGTGTGTCTCGTCTTAACACAACAAGACTTGTTTGCTTTATTGATAACGTTCCACTTGAGTATGTGCCATCCTATAAGTATCTGGGTGTGCACATAACTTGTGATTTATCCTCGAAAGCTTATATTGAACATATCGTTAACAATGCTAATCGCATGCTTGGTTACCTTAAAATAAACTTTTTTTCTCGCGCCTATGTCATTGAAACTCATTCTTTACAAAACCCTTGTTCGGAGTAAGCTTGAATATGCTGCGTCTATCTGAGACCCCGGGTCTTGAATCGCTCATTTCTGAATTGGAATCCGTACAAAATCGTGCTTCCCGCTTTATTCTTTCTAATTGCCATAGTACCGCCAGCGTAAACGTAATGAAAACCAGCTTATCCTTGCCTAATCTTTCTATGTACAGAAAAGTGTCTCGCTTGTGTTTGTTCCACAAAATATATCATCATAATTCATCTCTCAAGCAAAGGCTACTAACAAAACACATTATCTTTCAGCACGGAACGATCATAGATTCAAAGTTGGCATTCCATGCTGCATAACTAACGCATATCATCATTCCTTTATTCCCAGCACCTCTTTGTATTGGAATCACCTTCTCATGGATGTTGCCGAAATCGTGGACAGTAAGAGTTTTAGAAATGCCTTGACTAACATGGTATTGCTTCACACAACTATAGTCCTCCTGCCGTTTTGCTTTTGTGTATTTTTTTTGTGTTTTTTTTAAGACGCACTCTCCTCTGTAACGCCCTTGGCCTGAGGGTAAAATAAATAAATAAATAAATAAATGAATAAATAATATATATATATATATATTTCTACATTCGACTGAAAGAGCCATTTTGGTGTAACTTTGAGAAATGTTACCTCTTTTTTTCGTAAGTTTTCATCTGTGTTCAAAAGCAAAGATTATGAACCCGGGAAAAGAAATCTTTACATCAGTAAAAACACTCAACGACAAATTCCTGAGGTGCCTTTCGCGGAGCCTGAACCCGACTATGTGAAATGGCACTCCCTCTGCTCCTCTACGTCAACATTACCGAATGATCGGGTATGTAAGTTGAATCTGGATAAAATGCAGCTCTGTCCGAGGTCACTATAGGCTGGTCGATTTCGTGTTTTCCTGAAACGAGCCCCACGTACATGTGGAACTTTGGCCTACACAAAAAAAAAAAGGGAAAAGAAGGGGTAACAGTAAATACTTTTTGTGATGCCAGTTCTTATAGTAAGCGACAGTATAAGAAACACAGGGCGTGTCACGAATGCAGAGCATCTCATTTAATTGCACGGAGCCAATGCGCCTAAAAAGTGAGGGAGAGGAGGAGACGAGAGCGCGGAGGAGACGGCAGAACGACGAGCTCCGGTTGGAAGGATTAGTGAGTAGACCTAAAGCTAGCTTCCTTTGTCTCCACTGCTCTCGTCGAACGCGTAGAACGCGGAACGCCGGCGTTTGGCTTTCACAATCGAACCCGTTCGACGAATGCAGTGGAGACAAAGGAAGCTAGCTTTAGGTCTACCCACTAATCCTTCCAGTCAACAATCGGTATTTTCATGTACCCTCGCTTTCTCATTTCCTCGTATCCCTCAGTTTCTCGGCGCATAAGGCTGCGGCGTTTTCAGATAAGAGCGCCGAAGAACTAAGCAAGAATTAACTCCCCGGCATCCTTAACACAACCTCTGACTGGCCGGGGCTAACAACGCTTTATACACCTTCTCCCCGCCCTCCCACACACACACACGAACAATAATTTCGTACACAAACCTGGGGCAATTACCCCAAAAAACATCCTCCCAGGTTAACGATTCTGGATAAATCCCCCCGGGCCCCAAAGCGCGAGGGTCCATTCAAGCTTGGAGAACTCAAAAGAGGGTGCTTCAAGTGTTAGCGCCACTTATTCCGTATGCGCCAACTCAACTTTGTTACGTCATGCCGCGGTGGTGGCGCTTCGGCCGCACTTCCGGTCTGGTGTTATTGGCGGAAGTCGCCATGCGGAACGGGCATTCCTGTCTTGTTTTGGGAGAAACCAAACTAAAACAAGCATTTTTGTTGAAGCGCCGCGACTAGGGCTCTACGAAAAAAGCCGGGAAGCTGTAAAGGCCAGTTTTCGTGTGTTTTCTGCATGCTCGGTTCATGCGATAACGTGGATAGGTGCTGTGAAAAAGAAAAACGGAGACACTGGCGGTACACTATTGCTTGTGCTCTAAGCACTTTGGGTTGAATTCACGTATGCTTGAGATCGTCAGAATTATTTGTTTTCTTTCAATATGAGCGAAGGAAAACTGTAGATTTCTTCGGATCACCCGCGGACCATGTTAAATGTGACTTCACGTTCAGAAGGCCGTCTGATCGTTAAAACTGTCGTCTGCTCGTTCAAATTCGTATGCTTGTTCAAACTGTCGTTTGCTTGTTCGAACGACAGACCACCGCAGACCACACGTTGACCCCGTTTTGCGTTAAGTAAGTAAGTGCAACCCTCAAAATACTTAACTTTGATGGTTGTTTAGGGTAAGAAGGCTCGTGTGAACAGTATGTTTAGATACAAGGAGATGTTGATCATTCTTACCAGTGGCCATCACCGACTGGCTATGCCCGATTCACTTGGTCCAAATCAGCTTGAGATTATCAGTATCAACGTCGAGCATCGCAGATACCGTCCACACTTGTGTATACCCGGGAGACATTGCGACTGGGAACAGCGAGCAGAATCTCATCACGTGAATCGGGCTTTAGCGGATATTCTGCGCCGTTCAGGCGGAATGAATCGCCGCACGTCCCATTAATTACGCGAAGTTTCGCAGTGTAACGAACCTCGTTAATTTCGCTCGGGCCACTAAAGTAGTAAGGCATTGCTAGGAAGACGTAGTATCAACTATTCTAACGCGAAGAAAGAGCGCAGGGTCTCACACAGACGCGGACATCACATTCTCACAGTTTTTTTATGCGGGAAGGCGCGCTTCTTCCCCACAACCCCATTCCGCATGAACGAGGCGGGCAGCGTCAAAAGAGCAAGTCACTGGGCCTTTTTTTTTTTTTTCTATCATTGGTTCAGCGATGACAGACCACTCATAGAGACATGACGAACACCATGATGGTGCCCTTTTGACGCTGTCTGATTGATTGGTCTTATCAGCTCTTAGCATCGCCTGCCTCTGGTCTCAAGGTGCAACGAAGTACTATAGCTGTCTTTGGTTTCGCGTAGCGTGATCACAAGAGGCGGCCTTTGCTAACAGATAGCGTTGGAGACAAGCTATGTTAGCGTACGTACTTGTTACCAAAATGCGCACGATAAGATATCACTGGAAAAAGGCACTTTCTCTAGTTCTACCTTCGTGGTCATACAAGTGTCCGCTCCGCACCCATACCGTTGATAATTCTGCTGTGAATTTTGTTTTCTTCGCGTATTTCCTAGATATATGTGTTATAATAGTAATGCAATTTTAATATAATAACATCTTTATTTGGTTCTGGAAAGCCGTGGCACCGCGGAAAGGCAGCAGCCCGTACCATGGAGGCAGACGGTGCCGCGTCTAATGAACATGATAATGCGACGAGTATGTACATGCAAGATGACGACGGTGATGACGATGGTGGTACAAAAAGCCCCCCTCCCCCCAAACCAAAAAATAAGTGTTTTTCTTTTTGTTTTATGAGTTGCCGGCGCCGTTTTTAGGGCTGCCAATCTCTCCACTACCTTAATTCAGTTTCTCACTCTCTCTTTTCCGGTTTGTTTTCGTTTTGTTCATTTTTTAAACGAAAACTTAAACTACGAATCGCCGCGCCCAAATGTAGAGCTGGCGGTCAGAACCAGATGCCAAAGTTTCAAAACTAACCGTTATCTTACTTTAAAAAAAAAAAAAAAAACTTTTTTTTTTTTAGTTTTTAACGGTAAAATGGCGGCTGACAGAGCCCCCTCCCATGCATGGTGCTTAATGGCGTCATTTTCCAAGAAGGGCTCCATTTTTCCATTGAAATGTTTTGAAAGTCACATAACTTTTTTGCAAGACAGCGGTCAGTTCTCAAACTTCGGCATCTGGTTGAAAAAGCTAGCTTCAACATATGTGTAGAAGCTGAGCGTTGGGCGATGCGTCGTTCATTTTTGTGGTGAAAGAAACCTCGCAAATTTGTGTTTTGGAGGGAAAGGCTGTACATTCCTTCGGCGAACCTTGCAGGGTCACGTTGGGCAGCCGATACGTGGTGTTCCTGTGCGACTTCGGCTCCATCAAGGAAGCCCTGAGCCAGGATAGTCTGCTGAACAGGCCGGAAGAGTTTCCTTTCATGGTTCACAAAGAGTCCCAGGGTAGGAATTCATTCTGCTTGAGGTAAGATAGACAGAGAGGCTCGGCTGGGCGCTTGTCCTAGCCGGTCATACTCTGATTTACTGCCAACAGAAGGAGACGCAGTGAAAAAGCGTTAAGGCAGCACGCTGATATGATTGCGTTGGTCGTGAAAGAGATGATGGGAATTGTGCTTCGAGTCTCTTCCACCTGCACATAAAACACTTGGAGGCGTGAGACGTTTTTCGAGGTAACGTTGGGAACCTAGAAGTCGGCTAGAAAGCTGAATGCGTGCCGCCTTTGCATTGCTCTTTTGTTTGTTGAAAGATTTTAATGTTTCAGTCTTTTAATGCTTACTTCAAAGCAATTTACCTGCTTGTCTTTGGTTGGTATAGTTAAAACTAAATATTATTGTACGTAATGAGCGTATCCGAGTGAGAGTTGCGAGGTTCAGTTTTGCTAATTTGCGTGCTTCTGTTTTTTTCTTATTTTCTTAAGATGTAATCTTTAAAGCTTCTGCGGTGGCTTTGAACACCAAAATTGTGTTAAGTGAAATATTCAAGTATTGCAAAACCGAAGAAATAAGTATAATAAGTTCGGTCTTTTTTTTCAATCCTAGTTAGCATATGCATTTCAAAAGTGGTCAACGTTCTTATACGCAAACCTTAAAAACAAAAATAATATTTTATACCGCTGGAAAGTTACAATATTGAGGAGTAATTTTACAGCTTTAGACGCTACCTTTCAGCAAAAAAAATTTTGATTACTTCCTATTATTGACTTTTTTCATCGTTGTTCCTTCAGACCCATCTCTGTGTAAATATCATTATATTACATTTTTATTAACTTGACTCTATTAGTTTGGAACATTTGAGCGTTGTTTTATTGCGAAACGATCGAACATGCTCATTTTTTATACGTAAAGCCGAACATTTTTTAAGTGGTCCAGTTTATCAAGAGCTGCGGGTAGCATCCTTGTTTCCAACTAATTTTACGCCCCTTGCGTCGTAGGTTTGATTGTGCTGAACGGACCACTGTGGAAGGAGCAACGACGGTTCTCACTGCGGCTCTTCAAGAACTTGGGTATCGCAACCCAGGCCATGGAAAGACATATTCATGTGAGGCATGCGTACTGACCTAGACTTCAGAATGGTGTAGATTAGCGCTCACTCCAAACAAGAATGCCACACATCCAATCCAGGTTGTTAGGAAATGTATGTGTTCTTACTTTCCCAGAGAGCACTCTTATAGAGCCAATCAGCGTACGGTGAACGCTCATATATTGACGAACTTTTACTTTTTTTGCTGGGAAATAAAAGAAAAAAGATGTATAACATTGTAAATTACGTGTTTTTTTTTATTTGTATGTGAAAAGGCTTTTGCTTTTTCGTCGCTCGCCAAGCCCTAGAACGTACCAAGCTAGAGGTTTGAATTACCTTGCGTATGCGATGGTTGCACGTGCTTCCGTGCAAGAAAATTATAATTCCTCAAAAAATTGTTTTTTTAAGACTGCGTGAAAACGATAAAAAATTATGAGGACCGGTGGTATGATTTTTTAGAACTCGCTATTCTGCACGCTTATGGTTAGCCTCTGAAGTGGCATGTGTCTCCGGTAAAATAAGAAATGTGGAAGACACCTTTCGATGAATACGTCATAAGTGATGGGTTTTCCTTTTTTATAAAAAATGTTAAAGGTTTTGCAAAAATGAAACACAAAATGACCCCCTCAAAAAAATGTCCATAACATTTTGCAGCAAAAAATAAATAAATAAATAAATAAATAAATAAATAAATAAATATGTTCTTATTCAAACTTTTTAGGTGATTTTCTAATATTTTCAATGGAAAAATGGTGGCTCTCGAAAAGATGGAGCCGAATGGCACCAGTTATCAAGAAGGGGCCCCATTTTCTCATTGAAATATTTAATAAATCACTTCTTTGTGTTTTTTGTGTATGTTTACACATCCGGAAGTTAATGAGCCCTAATCGGCTCATTAACCTCCTCAGCTGTAGATGAGCAATTTAGCCAGTGCAGTACAACCACTAGCCCTCTAACGTGCACCATGCAGTAGTGACACGCCGGTACCATGTCTGTTTCTTGTGAAACTCTAGCATCTTGTTCGAACCTCTACCGTATTTGGTGGAGGTTGAGGCGTTCAATGATGCGTCGTTAAGTTTTGCATTATAAAAAAAAAAAACAAAAAAAAAAACGATTTTTTGCTGTTTTTTGTTGTTCTCTTTTCCGGGGGGGGGGGGGGGAGAGAGAGAGAGAGAGAGAGAGAGGAGAGAGAGAGAGAGAGAGAACTGGGAATACGTTTTAGATTGGGTCTCGAAGCCGTCTGGTTCCACGTCTGAACTCTCGGCCTCCAAACCACAGGACGAAGTGGGTCACCTGCTCCAGGAGTTCCGCGACAAGAAAAACGAGCCCGTGGCCCCAACAACCCTGCTGACGCCCAGCACGTCCAACATCATCTCGGCCCTGGTGTTCGGCAGGAGGTTCGAGTACTCGGACCCTGAGCGGATCTACCTGGACAAACTGATCGAGATCATCCCGGCTCTGGCCGCCCAGATCTCCTTCATCAACTTCTTTCCCTGGCTTCGAAACCTGATGGTATTCTTCAAACTCGGCGCGTGCGAGATGCTCCGAGACGCCCTGGTCCGCAGGGAGGATTTTGCCGAGTAAGTAGAACTACATATTTTTATTTTAATGCACTTACACCTAATGTACTTACTTTAGCAAACTTACACCCCAATGTAGTTAAATCTAAACATACTTACCTCTTGACGTACACACATATTAACATATATACATCCCAGCATACTTACATACTAGCGTACTTATATCTTGACATATTTACATATTACCAAACTTATATACCAACATACCTACATCTTGACATACTTACACCTTGACGAGCTTACATCTTAAGGCACTTAAATCTTGACTTACATCTTGACATACTTACATCTTGACATACTTACATCTTGACATACTTACATCTTGACATACTTACATCTTGACATACTTACATCTTGACATACTTACATCTTGACATACATCTTGACATACTTACATCTTGTCGTATTTACATCTTGTCGTATTTACATCTTGTCGTATTTACATCTTGTCATACATACCGTCGTACTTACATCTTGTCGTACTTACATCTTGTCGTACTTAAATCTTGTTGCACTTACATCTTGTCGTACTTAAATCTTGTTGCACTTACATCTTGTCGTACTTACATCTTGTCGTACTTACATCGTGTCGTACTTACATCGTGTCATACTTACATCTTGTAGTATTTAAATCTTGTCGTACTTACATCTTGTCGTACTTACATCTTGTCGTACTTACATATGAACATACTTACATCTTGATGTACTTACATCGTAACATGCTTACATCTTGACGTGCTTTCATATTAAGATACATTCCAGAGTACTTACACCCCAGAGTACTTGCATCTTAACATACTTACACCTGAACATACGTACTACTTGTCGTATTTACATTTCAACAAACTTGCATCCCAACGTACTTGCATCTTACCGTAGTTATATTTTGACATACATTTTAGCATACTGACATGTCAATGTATTTACATCTTAACGTACTTACACTTAACGTATTTACATCTTAATGTACTTACATCTTGATGTATCTATATTTTAACGTACTTACTTTTGAGCGTACTGCCATCTTAATGTACCTATATCTTAACGTACTTATATCTTAACATATTTACACGTACTTGTATCTTACACCTACATCTCTCGCCCAAACGTTCTTTCGCGAGGCAATATTTTTTTGGTTATAGCTTATAATCCCCTGAAGCTTCTGAGTCAATAAAAAGCATACATTTTGGAGGTGTCAGTGGCTCTTTAAAAAATACTAATTGACCACTTCTGCCTACACTCAGACACTCCTGAAAAAACACAGGCAGTAAAAAGAAAACGTCGCTGAGTATGTAATTAAATGATTTCTTAAGGAACGCCGGTTTAAACCAGCATATACTCTGAATGGTAGTGGGTTCTTCTCTCTGCCTCTCAAGGAATGCACAGGTCTAATTGGGTTGCTTGATTGACACTAACTGGAAGCAACGCCTGAGGTGTCTAGGTCTTCCATTAGTAATTGGGAGTTGGTAAGTAAAACGCCCACACAAAGTTATGTTCGGCTGTTGCATCGCTCGTCGACGCAATGATGCACTCGTGTTTTTGACATAATTGTAGAATTTGATCTGCGTAGGTCAAAGATTGACTTTCATCACGAAACGTACCAGGACGGCGTTGTACGGGACTACATCGACGGATTCATCTACGAAATGAGAAATCAAGATGGCGACCATAAAACGTTCACAAGTACGTTACATTTTTTTGTTATTTATTTGTTTATTTATATAGATAAATATATGTTTTTCATCTAGTAGTGCCAATAACTTCCTGATAAAGCATTACGTTTCTGGTTTAAAAGAAAAAAAACATTATTTGAGCTCTGAGATATAGGCAGCCACTTTGATAGTCTTTTTCTTACCTGGTCTCATTATATCGATTTCTAAACTAAATCATCACAGTACCTAAATTAATTTACGCATCCGACGCACTAGGAAATATTTATAGTTACAGCCCTTTTTAGAGGCTGGATTTACTCACTATTCAAACGTAAAAATAAAGGTATGACGTAACGAACTACTGAAGTTTGATGAGCTGGTTACTACGCGTCGTCTCTTTTATTTAAAAAAAACAGCAATAAAAAAGATTTTTTAAAAAGAGCATAGACAGGACGCGTTTGTTGTTTGTTTGTTTTTGTAATTTTTCTACGATAAGAATAATTTTCGCGCAGTATTTGCACCGTCAGATGCAGTTTGGGTGGAGTTCACGGCCCGCTCTAAGCACCGCCCACAAATCAGTTGCCCCGCCCATTACTACTGGATTGGCTTGGCTGCTCGACTAAACATGCTAACAAGCCTGGTGTCTTGCTTTCAAAACATCCGGTGTGTAGTCTGTCGCCTGACAACGCCTGCTAGTTGTACTAGCAGACGCGCGGCAGCCCAGGGGCATCGTCTGCTATTCCATCACAATCTGTCGTCGTCTGCCATGCACGAAGGCCGCGGACATAAACGTTGCCTGTCAGCGTCTGTTTTCTCCTTCGTTCGTCTGCTATTCCGCCCTCGTCTAAAATATTTTACAACGCTCGCAAGACTCGACCATAAAAGCGGCGCTCTAGCATTCCATCACGCACGAGCGACGGTTCAATGCAAGCGTCAGTCAGCGTCTGTTGACGTGCGGTAGAAAGCGACCGAGGGGACTAAAAAAAAAAGAAGCAGCGAGATGAACATTTTCTTATTTCAACTTTTATGCTCTTATTTTCTTTTTCGCATGGCATCTGCGTGGAAGGTGAGAGAGCGTCATGACGCGCGAATAAAACATGACCTAAAATTATTCACTTTGGCAGGCCAGGTGCGCTGCAAACCTTGAGAGCTATACTTGCCTTTTTGAAGCGAAATGACGGGAACATATCTAATTTGGTCTAACTTGATGCGTGCCAAACTCCCGATTGCCTCCAGCCAATTGGGCTCGCAAATGATTACCTGTGTATGTACCTTTTCTGTATTGAAACAATGGTCGCAATCACGACGGTTGCACGATTCACAGAGCAGCGGGGTCACTTTTACGGGAACCAACATCTTTATTCAGCATCAGAACGCGCAAAGAAAGAAATCAAGCAGGACCAATCAAAATAGTTAATGTGGGGCGCTACAGGCTTAGGCCAGTCCTGCTAAGAAAGCATGCATCCGCACAGCGCTTTCGAAGGTGCGTACTTGCGATAGTTTTTGCTGCAGACTATGTCGGTTGATGAGATCTTCCTCTAAGCACCTCTGTGAACTCAGAACGACCCGCACTCATACAAATTCACATCTCAACGAGCTACGCTCGTTCAGCACTCCGCAGACGCCGGCAGCCATCTTTGTTAGCTTTTCTAACCAAAGCGGCTGAAGCAATCTCAGAAGAAATTTGAAAACAAACATCACTCTATCTTGACGAGTTGCTTCTCAAACATAACAAAAAATAAGTCATGGGAAATAGGCGCCGAAGGAACACGGACAAAGAGTAGAATAGCAACGACACAAGGCGCACTCTTATTCTACTCTTGGTCCGTGTCCCTTCGGTGCTTATTTCCCATGTAGTATCAACTGGCCCATTTAGACATTTTATTAAAAAAAATAGTCCATTAAAATACTATTACGGCGCAGAGATACAAACTTACAACCAAACTTTCACACGTCAATCCACGTCTCCAGTCAACGAGAGATGTAAGCACCTTGTAAGCACGGGACGGATCTTGGCGGGCTGCGACATCAACACTCTGCACCTCAATTGCGTCTCGGCGTTAATACCGCCCCCCCCCCTCCCCCCTAAAAAAAAAAATGTTTGTTTTGTTGCAAAGTTTTTTATTTTATTTCAAGCGTTCCTTTTGGGAAAAAATACTTATTTTTTTATTGCAGTGTCCCTTTAATGAGCAGACGTGATATTTTTAAAGTGTTTATTACTCGTGACAGTGAGAAAACAACAAAAAAACATGACTTTGGAAACGGAACGTTGCAGCTGTATTGTTTGAATTAAAGAAAGAAGTGCCAATAATGGCTCGAATTTGAGTAGCACCTAGTCGTCCTTAGCCTTCAGAGTGCAAGGTAAAGACACGATGACAGTCGCAGTCACAGACACGTAGTAAGCAACGCAGGGCGTGGGTGTCCGCAGGCCTTGCTTCGTGATTGGTTCTCCGGCGTTCTCGTCGACTATTGCCGCTATCTGATTGGCTGCTGAGCGATAATGAGATACTCGGACCTCACCCCGCCCCGCGTTTCTCAAGCTCTCGGTGATTATGGATGGGAATGACACATGGGGTTGCTGGATTGGAGGCACATTTTGGGCGCACCTTGTTCAATTTGGTCGGCATTGTCTTCCGAGTCGCGTTATTTCCCTCAAATGCAATAAAATGTCTCGCATCTACAACGGAAAAAGAGATGGCAGTAATGAGATTACTGTAATAAAATATAGTAATTAAATTATTTTAGCGGTAATTACTAATGTAATTAATTACTCTTCTAGGCTGGTAAGTTAGTAATGTAATGAATTACTTTCAGGCAGTAATTTCGAGAAAATTACTCATTACTTTCAAAATTACTTTTGTCTTAAATGAGATAGTTCGTTTGCGTGCTTTAAAAAAAAGAGAGAACAATTATATGGCATGATAAAATGTGGTGAAAGCGACATCAGAGCAAATCAATAACGGCCATCTGAGCGCAAATACTCGTACGAATTACTCGACAGATTTCATTCGCTGTATGCCTCGCTGCCTTTCCTTGGGAAGTTTATATGGTCATAAGTAGAGCTGGGTGTCGATTAAAAATTGTAACCCAATTAATCGGCACCCTTTTATCGATAAATTCATCGATTAATCGGTAACGTTCATTTCCCGGCATAATATTTTTAAGCAAACTTTGCTACTGGAATAAACAATGCAGTATACAATTTCGATTCTGAATCAACCTCAATGTGTAGTCTAGACATCTTCAAAGACTCGTAGATCATTACTTCAGCTGCATGAGGCAAAAGAGGTTCGTTGATATCCTATGGCAAGGACGACCTCTTTTCATTGGCTAAACGGACTCCCGAACGGCGTTGCAGTAGCCGGGAATCTTCTGCACTTGTCCGGGGCTACAAATCTTGTCCTTACAGTTTACGTTGGGTAAATATTTCACCTAAAGTTTGCCCTTCACACGGGTGTTCTCGTCCACGTTTAATTTTTTACTTTCTTTTGGTTCGTCTAAACTTCGCCTATTAACCGGTTAAAAAAAATTAATCGCGGTAAAAGCAGTAATGGGTTAATCGGTAGGTTAATCAATCAATTGCGCAGCCCTAATAATAACCCTACGAGCAGATATTGCCACTCCTTTGTTGGGGAAGTAAAGTACACATTTTAGGTAGCTCGTGCCATCCCTTTCCTTGTGTGACAACGCGCGATAACTAGGGCTCTTCGGTTGTATTGGCGCAATACTATACTTCAGAAGAGCGACCGGGAAGTACGTCAACTAGTGCTCTTGGGACAATAGGAAGAGATTGCGTCCGAGGCAGAAGTAAAACGTTTCACGAGACGACTCCTTCTTAGAACGAGCCCCCATGGCCCTACTTTACACACTGACACGGACTATAACTTCTTCTAAATCAGTAAGACGGAAACATAACACCATTTAACTAAGCACCTTCGCCGTTGAATGAAGAGCGAAACCGGTGAGTCGACTCTATTTGAGTCACATCTAAAGAATAAGCTATTTATCATGTTTAACACTTATGTCGCGTGACCTAGCTATAACATGCGACCTTTCTTTCACAAAATACATCAAGAAAGTGGCCACCGCTAGTGTAACAAAACAAAAATTTATTGAGAGTGCTAGTCGTTACGAGACGGACAAAAGTTTTTTTACTGATGGGACGAAAGGTTCTGGCTGCGCTGTGGTTGGGCAGCCCCTTTAACGTGTTAGACGAATTAATGCCAATGCATCTGTGTTTACTGCTTAGCTTCATGAACTCTTATTGATGGTAGACGAAATAATCAAACAAAAATACAGATTATCTGTGATATTTACAGATTCGCTCAGTTCCCTCCTTGCCCTTAACTCTGCAACATCCTGGAAACAGTCCCTCGTTTCTCTGCTTCATGCTAAAGTAACAAACGCTATAAAGCAAAACATCACTATTCACTTTTGCTGGGTTCCTAGCCATATAGGAATACACGGCAATGAGGAAGCCGACCGAGCCGCAGGTGCCTTTGTAAACAGGTCCATTGAAATTCACACCCTCTCAGTGATAGACTCTAGAATTACACTACGAAATAAAGTAAAAGATTCCTGGCAAGTAGAGTGAAACTCTAATCCTCACAATAAGCTACATAGAGTTAAACCTGTTTTAAGTGAATGGCGCAGCGCCAGACATCGGGAAAGGTTCTATGAGGTCATCTTATGTCGACTGATAGGCCACACACACTTGACTCACAGCTACCTTTTAAGGAACGACGACCCACCGATGTGCGACTACTGCTCAGAAACCTTATGTGCACTTCACATCCTTTTAGTGTACCCCCAATTTAATAATGAACGCCGCTCCTACTTTCCTATCTTTTTCAGAAGACAGATACCTTTCCACTTGGCACTCTTGCTTGGAGACGAGCCTGTAACTCCGTACACACAAGTTTTTAACTTTTTAGGAAACATTAATATTTTCTTTAAGTGATATTTGATATTTTGATCCACTTTAGTCTCGCGTAACCTTTAGTCTTGCGATATTTACCCACCCTGTGTTTGGCGCACTATGGCCTATGTTGCTGCTTTGTCAGAAAACTAAATTATTTAATTAATTCATTCATTCACTTATGTCGCGTGCGCCAGCAAAATGACTGTTCACCATGGTTCACTTTGAGGCTCATAAGGCTGTTAAGCTGTAAACAGAACTGAGTTTTGGTACATATACTGTAGATAAAATGAGCAAGAATTAGTGCCTCAAGGTATTCAAAAGTAATGTCACAGTCATTTCATTTTTTGGAAAGTAATTTAAATGTAATGTCATTTGTAATGTAACTTAGTTAAATTTTTGCACTTTTGAAAGTAATTAGTAATGTAATTTTATTACCTTTTGAAAGTAATATAGCCATCTCTGCATGAAAGCGAGAGATGGACGAGAGTCGCGAAGTTATAAAAGCGCATACCCTCAAAAACAGTAAAAGGAAGTGTCGGGTGTTTGTTTAGTCAACGGAAAGTAAAGTCAGCGCCCTAATGGGCGTACGTCTGGCGTCTATACATGTGCTTCATGCGGTGACAAAAGACACTATGGGACTAGAAAACTTCGTAGCTAGGAACTAAGAAAGTAAAAAAATATATATATACAACGAAATAAAGAAAACATTAAAAAAATTTTAAAAAATCAAATTTTTATTATTGTATAGTTCCTAACAGAATGAGAACGGCCAGAAATGTCTTTCGAGCGTCTGGCCTCCAGCTAACGCTTCATACCTTCCGCCGTGCTTTGGCTGCTCGCGCGCGCTTGAGGTGCACGAACGCCGAAGCATTGTCGAAGGTAGGAGGATCGCGCTGGAGTCCTCGCCTTGTCAGCGACCATCGTTTCTTCGTAGGAGTACAAGATAGACTCTAAAAGCGCTCCCCTCATGAATGGGATGTGGCGCCCTTTCAGGGAACCTGCTGAAGGGCAACGTGGCGTCGTTCTTCGGCGCCGGCAGCGAGACAGTGCGAGCCGCCATCGACTGGCTGCTGCTCATGAGCGCCGTGTACCCGGAACGCCAGAAGAAGATCCAGGCGGAAATCGACGAAGTGGTCGGCGGCACCGACCGCCAGGTGGCCTGGAGCGACCGCAACAAGATGCCCTACACGCAGGCCTTCATGTGGGAGGTGATGCGCTGCAAGCCCGTCAACCCGCTCAGCCTGATGCGCTAGTGAGTCGCACACTTAACCATAGGGATTTATAGAGTAGCGTACGCGAGGGAATAGGCGTAATTAGAAGGTGGAATTGTCGCTATTTCTTTTCGTAAAGGCAAAGCTTTTTACATGCGCTACTGTAAAACTTGCGAGTCACTAAAATATAAAAGTTCCAACGCCATACCGCCTGTTCGCATAGTTGAGGGTTCGAATCCCGGCCGAAGGCAGAGAAGGCGACGCGTAACTGAGATTTCGGTTGGGCGACGCGCAACCTAGTTTCTGATTTCGCGAGTTCTCGCACGTCTTCTCGCGTGCAGTGCGAGCAAGGACGTTACCGTGGGCCGTTTCGTGATCCCTGAGGGCAGCATCGTGATCGGATCCATCTGGTCCGTGTTCTACGACGCCCAGTCCTGGGGGGACCCGGAGTGCTTCCGGCCGGAGCGATTCCTCGTGGACGGTGGCGCCCGGGCAGTGAAGCCGGACCGCTTCATCCCGTTCTCCTACGGTGAGTCCGCAACTTAGTCGTTTCCAAAGGGGCCACTCAGTAGGCGGTCGGAAAAGTCATACACATCTATGTTGTCGCGTGTGCGTGCCTGCGTGCATGCATGCGTGCCTGCTCGTGCGTGACTGCGTATGTGTGTGTGCACATGTATGTGTGTGTGCGTTTATGTGTTTATTAAAAGTACAATACGACGTAATGATAAAAAAAATAACATGCTCTGAATTTCGGCTTGTAAATCAAGACACATTAAGACTATTTTTATGCTTCGGCACAGTGTCCAAACTTCAAACAAAAGGTAGCTAACAAGCGCTGTTTGTGTCTCGTTGGCTCGGTAGGGCAGAGCCCACACAGGTAACAGCTAGAACTTCACCCCGTGTTTTTATTTGCGATTGCTCGCAGGCAAGCGTTCTTGTCCGGGGGAGGTGATCGCCAACATGGAGGTCTTCATCTACTTCACCACGATCCTCCAGCACTTCAACGTAGAGGCACCGCCCAACGGCCCGGACCTGGTGTTTGACGAAGTCCTCGGCATATCCCTGAGGCCCAAGCCTCAGGAGCTAATCGTTCGCCCGCGATGAGGCCCCGTCCATCCTTCGACTCACCGAAGTCCTTCTCTCGTTGGTAGAAACAAAAAATGCAGCTTTCTACGATCTGCGATTTTTCAAAATGGCACACGGAGGCGATGGTGCCTTTCAGGAAACCAAATTTTTTACAGGGTCTGTCCGATTGGGGTTGGTCGTTCAAGTGCCTAACAGAGGTACAATGAGCTCTGGGTAAAAACAATGGGCCACTCAATAGCCGCATTTAATTAACCAATTGCCTTATTCTAACCTCCTTTTTTTTGCGTGTTAGGATTAGTAGAAGTAAAATGCAATAGTACTGCGACCACTCATGGCAAATCACGAGTCGCTTGGCGCTGCGAACGCTACGAGTAATATGACACTACTCAATTTGCAACACTATTCGCAGACATGGATATAAGAAAAAAAAAAAAAAAAAACTATCCTCAAAGCGATTTATTTTTTCGGAGATCATGAAGCTTTTTTAAGTTAAATCCTGCTATTTTCTATAAGAGTTACTATTTTACCTTTAATTTATTTTTATTTTTTAACAACCGTGTGACATTTATATATGAAACAAAACATCGAGAAATCAAACGCTTTTTTTTTTTAAATAAATATTCGCCGGTTTAGAAAGTTAAGGCATTGGACTGCTTTTCATGGCTCCTTCCAAATGTCTAATTGGACAGTTAATCGACATTTTCAGGACCGGGGAACACACTTATATTTACTGCCAGCTTATGATACGCAGGGGTAATGCTCATTGCGTCTGAGTGTCTAATCCTATTCTGAACTCTTTCATCCGCTGAGATCGTGGTATTGTTCGGCGGGATTCGTTGCTTCGTGTTCTGCATAAAATTAAGCCCCCCCCCCCCCCCCCCCCCCCCTACCTCCGGCGGGTCGCATTTCTTCTAATGTGTAGTCCAGAAACCAACAGTGCAGTAAAACGTATTGGCTGTGTCAGCTCCTGGACTTTCTCGCGTGTGCGAACGCAACGTCGGCTCTTCGAGAAATCTTTGATGTTTGGTGTTGTTGATAATGAGTGTGAATAAAAGAAATCACCAAGTGTTGATTTACTCTTCGTGCTTTCATCGTGATTAGTGAAGTACTACCATTTTTTATCGAGCAGATTTTTTTAGAAGCTTGAGCGTGATAACTGATTTTATGAATGACTGAATTATTCTGTGGTTATGCTGTTGCATTGTATCTACCTTTTATACATGCTTTATTTTCCTAAATTAGTAGCTTCAGTGAAGAATTCACGTAGTTACAGGGATGGTAAACCTAGAGCGAGGGGAAAAAAGGGACGGACCGATACGAAGCTCCGAACTCTGCTAAAGAGCAGCACCGCATTTGTCGGTTCTAGGAAATGTCTCCTGCCGACATCATGTGGCAGGAGATATGCTTAGACAAGCTAGCTCAATACACCTTTCCAAGAAACACTCGACCCCAGAGGCAACAGACCGTTTTCAAGCCCAGTCACTGGTATTGAGGCTAGACTCTCACCGGCATCTTTGCTAACGCTAACCAAGTGAACTGGGATTTCGATGGGCGAAGCCTGAGTAGGTGAAGTTTCAAACACTGCTGGCGGCTAAATTCTCGTCTTCTCCTACTCTATTTCGTCACAGTCGACGACAGTCACATCTTGACGATCGTACGGAATCTAAGATTACTTCTTTTAGAGCGCAGCTCTTAGGCGCCTGCTTCCGGCTTGAGCGGCGTCGGCGTTACCGCGAGCCCCCCCCCCCCCCCCCCCCCCCCCCCCAAAGACGTCGGGAGAACCTCGATAGGACCTCGGGTTCCTTCGGGAGGACCTCGGGAAGACCTCGGGTTCCTTCGGGTGGACCTCAGGTACCTTCGGTGACCTCGGGGAGGGGGACCACGTGACCCCCCTCCCCGAGGTTACGTGACCCCCCTCTCTGAAGTCACGTGATCCCCCTCCCCGAAGTCACGTGACCCCCCCCCCCCCCGAAGTCACGTAACCCCCCTAGGTCACGTGACCCCCCCCCCCCCCCCTTTCAGTACCCTTCCCTCTTCCTCCCCAAGGGCTGCACTCTGATTCGGCGTTACAGGGAGTTGTAAATGTGAGTTGCACATTGTCCTGCACATTATGTGGGTAATGGGGCCTCCTTCTTGGCCTCTACACAAGCTGCCACCCTTTCCGAGCCCCTAGTCAGCCCTGGCCCACGTCGGGCAAAGCTCGTAGGCTGACCCCGGATCTGGCGTCTCCAGCGCCTTCGTCCTGCCGCAGAAGCCTTGAGGCTCATCATGAGGCAGGTGGCGCCATTGCCATTGGGCACACGGTCCAACACGTACCTCGAGACCCCGCAGGATCCAGAGGTACGTTGTGCTGTCCTCGTTCAGGGCATGCAGGCGAGGCAAGCTGGACTCCAGGCGCCGGCACATTTGTCCTCGTGCCTGCGCCGATGGCGTTGAGGCTAGCAAGTAAGCAAGTTACCTCCTGCCTGTTCTCCGTCTCACTTTAAGTGGGAGAATAGCAGGAGCTACAAGGAAGGGCGAGCTCCGGGCTTTTGGCATCCCTGCAAAGCATACACGCTTGTTCAGTGGAAGCTCTGTTTAGGGTAACACGCGTGTGCTCGTAGCTCCAACTTGGCTTCCTCGGAATGTGAGACAAACTATAGTTGTGGTGAAGGTTCAGACTTTGAGGCTACAAAAAACCACTAAAACCTCCTTTGTTTCCTTTTTTTTCAAGTTTACACAAGCGAATTCTACAAGCACACTTGCTTGATATTTCAGTGAGGTCGCACGACTGCGATTCTGGCCAGACCTTGCTGCTTCATAGAAAATGAGTCCTGCTATTTGTAGACTAGTGAGCAACACACTACGCCAGCTAAAATGTAAATGTAACTTGGCAGATGTATGAAGCTCAGAGAGCCTACTTTCACAGTTTTAGCATGGGTATATATTCACATATCTGCTACGTTACATTCACATATATTAGACTGGGCCAAAAAACCGGTAGAAACGAAACCATCATGCAACAATCATCAGTTCCATTGGCTCAAGTGCCAAAGGAACAAATCGAGGCTTCTGGTACTTGGGTTTGAAGTTTGTATTTATTGCAAAAGTGTACGTGGGTCTCCCAAGTCCTTACTCGAAGACCCTTGAAAAGTCTTTTGACAGTCCTTGAGTCTGTGGGAGTGACTCGGCTAGTTGAAGGACACCCCGAATAGTAGTGCATGGTGTTGTGTTAGACGGTGGACAAGAGCAAGACCGTCCTTTCTCAAGCCTAGACAAAAGAGTGCTTCAATTTGTCGTCTTCGTAAAGTGCCTCCCCTTCCTCTTTCTCTCTCTCTCTCTCTCTCGGAACGTGCAATAGACCTTTCCCGAAAATCCCAAGAGACCTTGCAACGAGGGAAATTGTGGCTCTCTTCGGATCTACGCTCGGGTGCCGGCTCGAACGCTTCGCATATCGTGGTAGTAGCGCAATTCACTCTTTCTTATCATTACAAGCTCAGAATGTGCAAAAAAATATCAGTGAGCTATAAAAAAAGGTAATTACACCCTCTGTTTTGCTTTCCTTCTGCGTTCTCCGCGTTCTGAACTCACGAACTGCTAAACCAACGTTAACTTCGTCTTCGCTTTCTGATAATTCCTCGTGCCGTACTTCAACACGTCGCTATGCATAAAGTATACACGCTGGGGGCACCACATATATATCTCCGAAAGGTCTGTTACTCATGCATCACGTAGCTTATTGAACACTTGGGACCGGTTCCTTTCAAACAGGCTTGCTGCAATGCCCCAAGTCTTTTCACGATCAGCAGCGATGGCTCCCGCTCCTTTCCTTTGAACCGCATGGAAAAATTGACACTTCCCTGGACCACCAACTTGCGTTGTGAATACGTCTGGAAAGCGATTTACGTTTAAGTCCATGCTGCCATTTAAAGATGAGGGACACATTCCCTTTAGAACAATTATGGACCAAGCAGTTGTAGTGTCAACTTCTATGCAGATGGGAAGTTCATTTAGTTAACTTCTACAATTTCTACCCAGGTTTAATGAAGTTAAGGTTCTGCCTTTGACCTGTATCATTTCAGACGATGACTGGATCCCACTTCCGGAGCGTGGTGCTTTTATTTGGCTAATTACTGACGGCATGCATGTATGGTCTGTCCCTTTCCGCCACAGAAACGGCATGTTCAAATTTATAGCTACTTGCGTCGTGCGCAACATATTCTAGCTGTACTCGGAGATGTCTTCCCTGCGCCAGGGTTGTGACTTCGTATTGATGAACCGTTTCATGCCTTGTGTGGGTCGTGTTTGTCAATGTGGCGAACCTTTGCCGTCTCTGGAGCCCGGAAGTCTGGGGTTTCTCGCTTGCGATTTGTGGCATGCGCCGCAGCAATCGGAGGGTTTACATGCGTGGCAGAAGACTGCACGCTTCATGGCGTCCACGATCTGATCAGCCAGCAAGTAGAATTAGTCCAGCTGCTCTCCGACGTCTTTTCATTCTTCCAATGTTAACGCTGGGTGCTTCCCCTGTTTTATGCTCATTGCGACCAACGAGCTCGAGTAAACTTAGAGCGCTAAACCAGCGGCCAAAAATGGCACCCCCCCGGTTGCCGCCACCTTGCCTGTTTGCCACATTAGTGTGTAGGCTGCAACGCCACCCACAGACCCTTTCTTCTCATCAAAATAAAAGAGATGGCTCGAGGCGCAGCACGCGCACGCGCCTCGGAGAGCGCGTGCAAGAGAATGCTCTGAAGCTGCCATCACAGGCAGACACGTCGTTCGCTTGTCTCGTTCTATGTCCTCACTTTAAATAACGTGGCAGGGCCTCGCGGCCCCCCACAAGTGATCACGTGACGCTGAGATGGCTGCGCCCAGAGGTGGGCCAGATAAGATTGTCCAGATCACGGTCAGTAGATGGGCCCTCTGGGGCTGCTTTTCAATCTTACTTGAATGGATCCGAGGCATTCCGGCGGATCAAGTCACGTGACAAGACAGATACAGCAATGCTGGACGCGGGTAGGTTTTCGAACGCAACGGGTACGAGCCCTTCACCTAGGAGTGAGGCAGACGCTGCGTTCGATTTACTTGCACCTCCTGCACCGGTGAAGAAAAGTGTTGACTTTTCTGCACCGGTCCGCCATTGGGCACCCTATGGTTTGAAGACCGGTGGCTTCGCTGCGTTTCCATAGGAGTTAAGACTTTTTCTTTTTTTACTTTTTCCTCAGGTAAGCTCGCTCTTTGCAAATTTTATAGAAAAAATGCACCACCTGTGGCCAACGCTGTACAAAATCAGAACGCGATAGGCTAAGAAACCGAATTTTTCGTTTGATTTAAAGAGCCTGGCCGCTCCTTGGATCACCCGATAAAAAGACTGCTCCGGAGCTGTTGGCGTACGCACATTTTTAGCGTAAGATCGTTTCGTGAATCTTGTCTTTGTTCTTTCGCGCATGACACTGCAACAATAACACGCCGCCTTCCCTCGCCCCAACACAGGACACAAAAACCAGCAGCAGGCTCTCCACAAAACGTTATATATATATATATATATATATATATATATATATATATATATATATATATATATATATATATATATACAAGGGACGAAAATAATCCCCTTCTCCAGGGATTATTTTCGTCATTCTTGTCCAGCTCGCTTGCACCTTTGCATTCAATTGCATTATAATCATAACCGTAAATTGCAAGTTTTACCCTTGTTGGTGTTAGACTGGTGGCAGCTAATAAAACCCGTTTGCTCTACTGACGGCTAACCCTTGGTTAGCTCAGTTGGTAGAGCGCTCCACCAGCAATGGAGAGGTCCCGGGTTCGATACCCGGACCAGGCGGATTTTTTCGGTCGCTCACCAGTCACCTAGCTGTGTTTGGATATTTGTGTTTGTCCTTTGTCCCTCTTGTTCTCTCCAGGGATTATTTTAGTCTTTCGGCACAGAGACACGGCACTTCGGCATGCCAAGGAAGCTTTGAACGCGTCGCCAGACCGGCGAAACTTGCTTTCGACGAGTTGTGCCTTTTTCCTGCACCACTGCGCTTTCGTAAAAAAATTCCACGTGTTCATAACGGCAAGTCTCAACGGTACACACAGAGTCTTAAAAAACTTCTTCGGCGAATGACGACGAACGAGGAGAAAATGTGTCTTTAGCACGCTGGAAAAACGCAGCGAAACGCTACTAAAACGACAAAAATATACCATGCAAGATGGCCGTCCGGTGACCGCCTTCGCGCTGCAGCGAACAGCGAGGATGCGCGATCCAGCAATTGTCATGGAGAGATCAGTTATATGCTCGATGCCAGCAATGCTCACCCGCTGTCTGGCCGCTAACCAAGCCGGTAGAACGTTTTTAATATTGGTTTTAATCGGGAATGCGGCGTCGGTTTGACGTGATAATTTGGGTATGACCGTATTTTGACCCCCTAAAGCGATATGAGCCATTTCTATAGGGTGGAATGTTTGCGTGGAGTTGCGATTATTTATGTGAAAAGAAACAAAAATACGTGTTGGCTTGCTTTATGTTTTATTTTCTAGTAAGTGTCAAATAGTTGTTGATAAATATATATGAAAAAAGGCACTAGTATATTTTTAACAAAAAATAGTGGGATTGAAAGTTCTTAGTCGTCACCAGAAATAAAATAAGTCTGACAAGTTGTACTTTTTTTTAAGTGGTTTGTTTTAGTCATGCATGCGAATAACGTTGCAGATTTAATAACGTCGTTTTGTGCCTGATTTACGTGGTAAGATTTTACTTGCGTGTTCGCGATTACGACGTCACGTGTGCTGCAGAAAAAGAAAGGTGGACGCTGTAGTGCCCAGCGTCGCTGCTGCGAAAATAGCACCCTGGAAATCGGGCCATATTCGTACCGTTTGTTGCGCCAAGCGGGACCTGATGGCGCGATTCGCTATGTGTGGCCGCAGCACTGTTTAATCTTACTTCTTCTACTTGTTCCGCTAATATAAAACAATTAATACAGCGATCGGTCAAATGCGGTTACTGGGTGCTCCGTTGTTTTCTCTCCGAGCACACTGTACCTCTATCAGGCACCTGAGCAACCAACCTCGGTCGGGCAATCCTGTAGAAAATAAGGTTCACTAAACGGCGAAAAATAACGCCTTCGTGTTCCACCGCTAAGGCGACATTCCTAAGGTGTAAAAAGCTCAACGTTTTGTTTCGATCCCTAGGAGAAGGACTTGGGTGAAACAAAGACGAGGGGTTTGAGGGCGGACTCTTCGGCCGGGGTCACACTGCTAATACGTAATTCATAAGACACCCTGCAATCCATGTCCGAGGCCTTCTTTGTACGACATTGATCATACACAAACTGTCCTCAGACATATTAGAACATGCTTCAAAGACGTCTGAGACGTGACCGCATAAATTCTTTCATCGTGTCTACAGGGAACACCGTGCCTTTTGTATGATATATGGGCAGTGTGTGACTACGGCTTTATGGTTTCTACTCGAGACGGCATGACTAGGATTATAAACTGGGAACGGTATGTGTAACAAGCAAGGAACAGTGAAGTCATAGTGTTATACAACCAACAGCGTCAAAGTTGACAGTCGGGCGTTACTCTAATGCCGGTCCATGAAACCAGAGTAAACACGACCACAGGGCTCCGATCCCACTAAAACAATGAAAAGCCCGTACTCCCCCACCCCCAACCCCCTTCTTCTCTTTACAAAGGTTCTGTAGACGCCCATAGTGTTGCGTCATCGCGGGCAAAAAACGAGCTCCTGAGGCTTGGGCCTCAGGGTTAGCCCCAAGACTTCGTCGACCACAAGTCTGGGACCGTTTGGCGGTGGCTCGACGTTGAAGTGCTGCAGGAGCGTGGTGAAGTAGATGAAGACCTCCACGTTGGCGATCACATCTCCCGGACAAGACCGCTTGCCTGCGATCAATCGCCAAGTGAATTACGGGAGTTGGCTTCGATTTTATCCAACTTCGTTTTTTGACGGAGATTAAAAAAAAAAAAAGTTGCTTCTAGAAAGGGGAAAAGAAACGATAAAGAAATATATATATCTGAATATATATATTTGTCGCTGACTAAACTCTTTGTATAGAAACCCTATTGAAAATTCCATCAAGGTACGTAATTTGGGACACTGACTGCCAGTCAGCAGCCTTGGTGGAACGTGATGGACCATCAGACTTCATCTGATGGTCCATCAGATGACGTCTGACACCCACTGCCAAGGGAATTTCATCAACAAGGGCAGCATTTATATAAGAGTAAAGCTATACGCACTCATAAATATCGCCAAATGTCTCGATAAAACAAAATGTTCGAGAAAAAAAAAAAGAAAAAAAAAAAAGCAGGACACCCGCGGATTCGAACCCGCGACCACTTGCGTACAAATCGCAGATCCTAACCGCTATGCTATGGAACTTTTTTTTTTTTTTTTCTCTCAGACGTTTATTTACAGCATGTTTAAAACTATAATTTACATTCTTGCGTTACACTATATACAGGTAGAGCTCTACATTTCCGTTTGATTATATACAAGCGATGCGTTACAATATATACATGCAATGCGTTACTTTTTCGTTACATACAAGCAGTGCGTTTCATTCTCGTCACATTATACAATAGAAATTTACAAAACCACAATGCTCATCTCAAAAAGGAAGGTGTCAATGACACTTTCTTGGTCGACTGGTGCTGTCGTCGATTATATAATATCAGGAGAACGACTAAGATTTTTTACGACGTCTTTCCATTCATCATTTTCATCACAGCGTGCCAATATGCCCTGACCTACTTGAATGGCAATATTTTTAAAATTTACCCAGGATGGCTTTGCGACACCTGCTTCATTATCCACTTTACGCGTTTTCCACAAACTGTAAAGACCTAGAACTACTAAAATGTCTTGAATGGTATCGAGGTGTTCGGCGAAATGCAAGTAGCGAAGATTCGTCTCTTCCACTTCAAAGTCTTTTTTCAGCGTCCGTTTGAAAACATCCCAAAAGAATACAGCGTCGACACAAAGAATAAAGGCATGGGTGAACGTTTCGGTAACTTTGCAAAGTCTACAATTAGTGCTACCGTATGTTTCCATCCCGCGTAGGTCGAGCCACTCCTTTACAGTTGTGGTACGAGAGTGAAATCGATAAAAGAAAGTTTTACACTTCGGTGGTATCGGCATTAGTTTAACCCTTTTTAAAACATCCGGTTTGCAATTTAGTGGAGGCCCATAAGGAAAAACACGAAATACAGGATCTGGGAACAATGAAACTAGCAGATGTTTGGTTAGCTTCTTTTTAGTGCACGAGGCTAAAAAGGCTTGGTCAAACCTTGTTCTTAGAAATTCCAATGTGTCCGCTACTTCCTTATAAAATCCTCTTAATGATATTAAAGCACATGTGGTTGTTGAATCATCACCTGGTGTTGCCATATATTTCGCTAAGAAGAAATGCTTGCACAATTCTAAAAAAGGATGCTGTTCCTGTGCAAAAAATTTCCATCTGGCAGTTAGCTGCCTAACAAAAATATGACCTAAACCAAGTCCTCCGTCGTGAATTCCTCGAAACAAGTTTGACCTCCTCATTGGCTCGTATGGTGACCTCCAAATAAACGTAGCCAATATTCTGTTCAAAAGATTGACCGTCGTCCTTGAGCAATGTATAACCTGCAGAAGATACATAAGTTTTGACAAGAGGAAAATGTTGCATACAGCAACTCTTCCAAAAGTAGATAGATATCTTAAACTCCACATATTGGCAGCTGTTTTAACATTTTTTGTTACTGTGTCCCACATAGGCTTGGGATTATCCATTGCGCTTAAAGGGACTCCTAAGAGCTTTGGCTTCGTTGTAGACCATAGTATGTCCTCAAATGTAGATGGTGTCGATCCCCATTCCCCGCACCACGAGCCACAGCTTTTCTCCTTGTTTACTGACGCACCAGACACGGCACAGTAGTTAGAAACGCATAGCATCGCGTTTTTTATGCTGGGCTTGTTGGAACATACCAGCACAAGGTCGTCAGCGTAGGCAAGAAGCTTGATTTCGCAGCTGTGAAGGCGAAAACCTTGAACCTTGCTATCGTTTATGATGTATTTGCAGAGGGGCTCGAGATAGAGGTCAAAAAGAAGTGGTGACATAGGACATCCTTGTCTAACCGAGCGTTGTACTTGTATGGATTTTGTAAGAGCTCCGTTAACAATCAATTTCGTTGAGATTCCAGTATAACAAAGTTTGATTCCACGTATGACGTTTTCTCCTACTTGCATATGTGCGAGTACATCGAAAAGAAACGAGTGTTGAACTTGATCGAAGGCCTTAGCCAGATCAAGTTGTAGAATAGCCACTGATTCTGGTGTTCGTTGGCATATCTCTATTATGGACCGGACGATGTGGAGGTTTGTTTGTATATTCCGCCCTTTGATGGAACACGTCTGATGGTCTCCAACCAAAAACGTTATCACGCTTTGTAAGCGTCCGGCGAGTACCCTTGCAAAAATTTTATAGTCGTTGTTTAGTAAGCTTATTGGTCGATAACCGTCTACTCGTTGAGTCTTGTCTAGATCTCTAGACTTCGGTATCAGTACTGTGTGTGCCTTCCGAAACGATGGAGGTAAGCATTCGTGTCGGTATGATTCCTCAAAAACGTTTAAGAGTATGGGTGATAGTTTCTTGCTCCATTTTTTGTAAAAACTGGTCGGTAAACCGTCTGGTCCTGGGGCCTTTCTAGACTTCATTTCTCTTATATTCAGTTCGACTTCAGCCACGTCAATAGGAGTATTTAGAATCTTAGTCATATCTGGTTCAAGTTTTGGTAGCTCTAATAAGAGGGAGTCCTTCATTTGGGTTGGTACAGAATGTGGTCTTGCAGCAAATAAATTCTCGTAGTGCGAAACAAAGGCATCTTCTATTTCCTTTTCATCGTTCAGTGCGCGACCATTTTCGTTTAATGTCATTATCCGTTTCTTCTTGATATATTCTCTCTCCACGTTAAGGAATCTTTTTGTTGGTTGTTCTCCTTCTATTAATTGCAAAGTACGCGTTCTTACACCAGCACCTTCATAGCGTATTTTATCGTGTTCTTTAATTTGTGTTCTTATATTCTTTACTTCATCCTTGTATTTTCCAGGCTCTTGGCACTCCAAACGGTACAGGTAAAGGATGTCATTGTTCAGACGCCTTTCTCTTATTTTTTCATGATACGCAACAATTGATGATATTTCTATTGCTATTTTTCTTATCTCCAATTTAAAAGATTCCCATTTTTGACACCAGCCTTCTTTGGTGCATTCAAGTACCTCTAGTGCTGATTCCACACCTTTTATAAAGTCGTCATTTTCAAGGAGCCTTTCGTTCAGTTTCCAAAGGGACCAAGACGGTTGTTTTCTATTTCTCTGCGGTGTTTTTACACCTACACGCACTTGCACCATGCAGTGATCAGAGAAGAATGCAGGGATCACGTTGTAGTTACTTAGTGCAGTATTAACTGACCCAGATACATATATTCCATCTAAACGTGCATGGGAAGACCCTTGAAAGTGTGTAAAACAGAGTGCGTGATCTGTTGCTGAATCTATCAGGTCGCAGTCTTGAACCAATGCTTTTAAGGCTTCAGCGCTTGGATCTACGATGGTTAGGGATGGAACTCTATCTTTCTTATTTATTACACAATTGAAGTCCCCAAGCAGAATCACGTTAAATCTTGTGTTGGCGTGAATTCGAGCCTGACAGAAAAGGCTTTCCCTTTGCGCTGCGTTATTGTATGCATACACAACAATTATGCGCCAGGGCTGGTCTTGCAAAATAATGTTAGCTACCATTAGACGACCACTGTCAGCCCCTTCGAGAATACTACACATTTTGTACTTTAGTTCTTTCTTAAACAGAATTGCACACCCTGCAGAGTAATCAACAGCAGGGCAGTGAAACAGATCGTAGAAATCCTTCCACAAACTGCATCCCGAAAATAAGGTGTTTTGTTCGGATACTTTTGTTTCCTGCAGGGTCACAATGTCGCTGTCATATTTTTGTACAAAACGAAAAAGTTGGTATTGTTTTTTCCTCGAATTTATCCCTCGCACATTTATGGTGGAAATTGTGAAGGGACTTATCTGGGTGGTCGTGAGGGGATTCCTATACATGCTTTGGGTCAAGTTCGGAAGCTGCCGGGGAGGTTGTTTTTCGGTCTTCGAATTTGGGTTTCACCCGCTGTTCTTTGGGTTCCAGCCGTATTTGCGGCTCGGTGGAGTCCAGCAGGACATTCATTGCTTCCGGTTCTCCCGTCAAATTCTCGCTGGTGTCAACCTTGGCTCTTTTGCAATGGTGTTCTTCCTTCTTGGTCTCTGCCACCTTCGTGTTTTGCAGGGATTGCTTTCGCAGCCCTTTCCCTTTGCTTGCAGTAGCTTCTCTAGGTTCTTCTTGCGGTGTTGGGGAGGTGCTTTCGTTGCACCTTTGTTCCTCCGTTGGGCTTTCGTTGAGGCTGCAAGGAGGGTCGTTGTTCTGGATTGCTAAATCATCGCCCGTTTGCGTCCGTCCGACTTCCTCATTGAACATTTCCTCCACGTCCATGATATGTTCGCTATGATCAGCGTCCGGTGTTGCGTTTCCCTGGAGCTTTGAGGCGTACGTCACTACGCATTCGTCATTTGTGTGACCAAATCTCCAGCACTGCGTGCAGCGAGGAGTGCAACATTGCCGGCGGATGTGCCCGATTCCTTTGCACCTCAGGCAGAGCGGTGGTCTTCCAGGGATGACGACGAGCGTATTGGACCCGTACACGTTCAAGAGGTGTGGAATCTTGTCCACCGTGAGGTCCTGCTTCAGGACGAGGGTCACTTCTCGGGTTGTTGTTTGGAGATCCTCGAGTCCTGAAAATCTCCACGTTTCTCTCCTCATGTCCTTGACTGTCCCGAACGGCTCTAGAAC